AAAAAAAAAAAAAAAAAAAAAAAAAAAAAAAAAAAGTACACAATATAAATTTTGTTTAGTCAACTTATTGTCGTTTTTTCAGTTCAAGGCTCTTGTAACAGAATCAGCTCAAGGTATTTTGCCGTTCTTGGAAATATAAATATCGCCTTTCATATTCATTTAATAATGTAGAAGAGCAATGTACCGAAACAATTTTTATATAAATTATTTTAATACATGATAGTGAATTTGATTACTGTACTATTATATTTTATAGGAATCTTTCTTTTTTCGGTCCCAACTATAAGAACTTTTTAAAAATTAAAATAAATATTACTGTTTCATGTAGAATATTTATTGTCTATTAAAGTTAAAAGTTAAAAAGAGACTGCGAATAAACTTTCTTATACATTTTTTAAACTTGTATAGAAATAGAAATATCAAAAAATTAACTTTTAAAAATAGTAACTTTATAAATGAGTTATATTTTCATTGGTTGTTGTTTTATTTAGAACATTTACAGATATATTCATATATTCGGATGGTTAGTTACAGGTTTCAGTTTGTAACTGTCGGCTAGCTTGTTTTCTGTTTGAAATTGTTATCGGTAACAAGTTAATACCCACAAAATGTCAATATTGATTATTTGTTGTTTTTTTTTTTTTTTTTTGAGTATTGATGTTAATAACAACTGATTGTGTTGTTATATGTGTTGTTTTTGTTATTATTATTAATATTCTTAACACTTTGCTCTTTTTTATACTGCGCTTGATATTTTTATACATGTCAAATATGGTTTTTTCTCGTGTTATGTAATTTAAAAAGAATAACTGATACAAGAATAAAAGAGCATGATGAAGACGTAGGAAGAATACGTTCGCCAAGAGGCAAAAAATTCTGCAGTAGCTAAATATGCCAAAAACAATCAAATTCAATTTTTCAAGGTTAAATTTTAAATAAAGAAGTTTATTTTGGTAAAGGAATCTACAAGAAATTGTATAAGGAAGCAATAGAATTCGATAAATTACAACAGAGAAGACTGTAATGAATGTAAAGAAGATGTAAATTAGTATGACTTGGTTACATAAAGATACATTAAGTTATATTATACATCAAGATAAAAGAAGACCAAATAGTAAAGAAAATAACATAATAATATTGTATATATGTAACAAAAACCATGTTAGACATATTTGATAATTGCTGGAGAAAAAATGTAATTACAAAATTATTTTTATTTGTAAATCAAATGAATTATTTAGGTGATTAGATAAAATAACATTTCCTACTTAGTGCTCACATTTCTATTTTTATTTACAAAAATTTCAAAAGAGACTCGTTTTCACATTAACTATCTATTATTCTTCAAGACAAACGGTCGAGAACTAATTTTAATCAAATATTATGCTTGTAAATTTTATTTATGATCTATAGTAGGAGAACTCTTACAATGATTGAATACTAGTTAACTACTTATACATTTTTTTTAATAACAATTTGTACATCTAATATTTGTACTTATTGATAAATAACATATTTTTGTACAAAAAAACGATGACCTACTTTGTTTTATTATTATGTTAAGTTTTCTATCAATATAAATCAAGAATTATTTACTGACGAATGTGGTTTATATATTAAACTCCCATAACATTTTCTATCAATATAATAAATAACAGTAACAAGATAAACATTTAAAATAAAAAAAAGCGTTCTTTTATAACGTTTTTTTTAAAGTTCCCCTTTACCTTTTTTTAAAATACTGTAAAACTAAATTTAAAAGTTTATATCAAAGATAAAGCTTTACAGAATGTATTTAAAATTTGCTCAATTTATTATCATAATACTGTAAATAAAATTTAGGGGTAATTAAAAAATTTTTTTTATTGATATTTTATGTGAACAATTTTAAAAATACTCAAATTCTGGCTAAAATATTGATGATAAAGAAAAACTAAGGGCACATTTTGAATCGACGTCAAAATTTATTAGAAACAATAAAAAAAATATCATAGAAATTCCATGGCCCAAATTTTGTCAAACTGTGTAATTAATATAGGTTTTACTCACATTTCTCGATGTAAACATTAATCTATTATTATATATTCACATATTGAAAAATTCAAATGTGTAGTATGAAATTATCCCAAAATGATCCTTTTTTTTAAACTAATATATATCTTACATTTATTTTACTCTTTCTTATAAATCTAAAAGATTATATTCAAAGCTTACACAATTGAAGATATCAAGACAACTTACCAATGTTTAGTACAATAATAGTTAGAAATTCTCTTTTAGATATGACCCATCTGTTTTATATTTCATTGAGACACATATTACTTTTATACTACAAAAAAGTGGGAAATTATGCATTTTAACCCTTCATTGCATGAATTAAACATTTGACCTTAAAAATAATAATGTTCTAAAATAATTCCAATAGTGAACCCTTATTGTACATGAAATTTAAAGCAACTTTTCTAAGCATGTATACAGGACGATTGGTTTATCATAAACCACTCGTTCAACTTGCAAGATAAATATAAAATTGGATTGAACATTTTTTATTTTTTTTAGTTACATATATTTCCTAATTTATCAGTTAATAATTACTTTTAAGAATCATTCCTTAACACTTAAAGGGTTGTCAACTATATTTTTGTTCAATATACACATTTAACTAGCTTATACAATAGAAAATAATCTAATTTAGACGATGACTGGTTATTAATAAATTTTGAACTAGTATTTCAAAAGTTATTGACAATTTAAAGTAATGACTGGAGTTGAGAAGTAAGTGCTGCTATGTTTATCACTAATCATTTTCCCACCGTACTCTTCATTTCGCCTAGGTATAAATGAGAATACTTCCAAAGTACTAGTCCAAAAGTTGTTATCAACCAGTCATTTTTTTAATTAGATTATTGTCTATTTTATAAACTAGTTAAATATGTATGTTGTTATTTAAAAAAAATAAAGTTGAAACCCCTCTATAAGTTATAATGGATGATTCTAAATAGTAATTAATAGCGGATAAATTATGAAACATATAAAACTAAAAATACCAACATTTTTTGGTAAATATTGTATTTATTTTGTGAGTAACGGATTTTTTATGAATAACCGATCACTCTGTATATGCATTTTTATGCAGTAAGGGTTAAGGTAACTAGAATATTCAATAATATTATATGCTTTTTTATATAGTGGATAAAATATCAACCTAGAAATTACTTATTCTTATAGAGGTGCAATAATTTACGCAGTAGTCAAAATTCAATTATATTGTATACATTAGTCAAAGTATTGAATTTCAAATAATAGCAGTTATCTTACTTATGTAAAATGTACATACGTATATTGACTAGTGTTGTATAATTTAGGGAAATTTTCGAGATATTTCTGAAAAGTGGGAAATTTATTTTTACAAGCTTTTAATTCACAATCTTCGAAAGTTAATCATACCTAAATTTAATTTTTAACGGTAAATATCTTTTATAAATATATCAATAGACATTTCTCAGTTGCATTTCTTCTCCCACCCTGTCATGAAAATCCATACCCTATCTACTGTTTTAATTGTGCGACGATATTAAATTAAAATTTTACATAGTCTCGTAATAAATAAAAAAAACATCAACACTTTATAACATGAATATGTAAACCAACAAGACGAGTAAGGATAGCTTGGCACCACTGACTAAAATAATAATATAGCAGGTAAATATTACAATCGCAGATGACAGATAAAGGCATATATGAGCACAAGCCAGTCCACCAGGACAAGTTCTAGCAATGGTAGTGTATCTTTACATGAATCAATTTGCCCGGTTTTCCAACCCCCGTATCTCCGATTCCTTTTAATATAAGCCCTTGAAGTTTAAACAGGTTAATTTTAGTAGCTTAAAACACTGTAAAATTTAGCTTTTAATGTTAAGTAATTTCAATATGAGAGAATTTCAAAGTTTTTTTCGTGACCAACTGACTGACTAACTAATTTATTATCAAAGCTATGACTCCTACCATATTAGTAGAAAAAGTGAAAATTGGTAAAAAGGTAGGTCTTGTATTATTGAAGAATAATCAGAAAATTATTATTTTCTCAAAACAAACAGTCTTATAAGTAACTGCGTCATTTAAATGACGCCTTCAATTTAGGAAGGCAGAACGGGCAATCAAAAGTTCAGATGTTTTAATAGCTTATGATAAGTTTGTAGTCTAAAGGCTTAAGAGCCAGTAAGAATAATGTTGAAAAATACCAAGTGTTCGCGCACAAAATGACCAATATTAGCGACACTGATTGTTTATATCAAGGCTGATATATGGCTAGTAGGATATCGCAAGTTGTATCTTAAACACCCCATAGGATGTATACAAATCGACGTTAAGAAGAAAATGATAGTCTTTTTTCCCTTTGCGCTGTTTATGTGAAAACCTCAATGCTCTTACATGTGACATGTAAAGCGATGTGACATCTGGTATTGTTACTACGTAAATGGACTGCCATTTTAGCGATCTGATAGATATAAAAGCATATGTATGAACCTTCTATAAAGGGCAATTAAACATCAAAGGTTTGACTGGAGGACACCATTGAAGGAGAAATATTATTTTATATAATATTATTATGTATATAACAATGTTATATTCTGTATAGATTACAATTTGATTTAATTAAGTGTTTCTGGTAAAAGGACAAACGGTGGTCAACTACTCAGAAAAGAACTCTTGTGTCAACACCAAAATTCAACTACTTCCCTCCTAACAAATTACGCCAATCAAAGTAGTGATAACTATATTAGTTTGCTTTTCTAGAAAAGCTAGTGTAACTATACACGAAATAATTCACCCGGTTTTTCTTATCCCCGTATCTCTTTGTCCTCGTAATATTAGTTATTGAAATTTAAAACATAGTTTAGACTATAATAGCTTAAAAAATTTTCCCCTTAATTTCAAAAAATTATCTCTATCAATGTAGCGGTACCTACACTGGGGCCAAGTTTTCTCTTACTTTAGTTCATAGACTTCAGTGTTACATTCACTAGCAACATTACTCATTTATTTATTTAAGTTTGATTAAATATTCTGAAAAAAAATTATTTAGATCTACTTCTTTTTTTTTTGTTCAAAAAAATATTAATACATTTTACTTTGATAATCTGAAAAAAAATATTTTCGAGAACATTTTTTCAGGAATATTCTTTTGTTATATTCATTTCTCGTGAAAGTAGTATAGAAGCTTATGAACTATAAAAAAAGCATTGTGGTCATAATGTAGATATCATGATTTTAGTAGGTAGATTTTTTTGTAAGGAGTGGTGTTGGAATTTAATATTTTTTCCAGTTAGATTTTTATTGAAGATACTTTATGATAAACATCAAAATAGCACAATAACTGATTAAGCATACAATAACTTGTATATAACTGCTACAGTACTTTAGCAAAGTCATGATAATATTTTTTTATAAATGTACTATATAACTACATGTTAAGAACGAGTAGTTTTCTGTTCAATAGTTACATTTGGTACTAATTGTTGATTGTTAGGGCTGTTGATTAGTTATATTTTTTTCTGCTTCTATTGACGGATTAAATGAAAAACATGATTCAACTGTGTCTGTTGAAGCATTAATTATATTTTTACCAATTTCAAGTTTAAAATTTTTGCTATTCGTGATACTACTTTAAAATGTCCATCGTACTAACATTTTAACGGTTTTAACATTGTTCTTTATTAAAACAAACTGTTATAATTTGAATGGTTTAATATAGAGACCAAGCCTATATAATTCAAAAAAATTTTAGTTGACAAAAGAAATGAAATTGGATCCACTTCTTTTTTGGAAGAATGTAAAAATCTCTTAGGAGTACAAATATGGTAAGTCGTGCGAATTATTTTTACGCCTGCGTACTGACTAGGTCAATATTAATGCAAAAGAATCGCATTAGGTAATAGAAAAGTACCAATTGGGCTTACCATATGTCGTTGAATTTTGATTTTCGGCATGCTTAGAAGTTCTAGTCCATTCAGTACAACTTTTTTTTTAATGAATAAACTATTGACGTACTAAGTTGTTAGTACAACGAATTCTCAGGTGAGATAGTCCAAGTGAATTATTGATAAAAACTTTCTGTTAAATATAGTCTTTAATTGTTGGTAGACGTATCACAAAATATTTTTACATTCGTCAGTGGCATAGTAATTTTCTTAAGTTTTAATAACGTGTTATTTGATTTTAATAACACAGTTTGTTATCTATATTTTCCAAATAGCTAAATCATTAGCTTATTGGTATTGGGAAAAAACCCGTTTTCACGCACAATAACGTGTATACAATACAGAAAAATGTGCTGAATATTAATAAAAATTTAACTAATAAAGTCTAGTTGTATAGTTTATCTTGTTAAAAATGTTTCTGTTTTTATGTTGAATCATATGTAAGAGCGGTTTGTATTTACAAAATAAACTGATGTGCTTCAAACAAATGACGCAAGTTTTTTTATTCTAAAATAAGTATTCAGTCATTCACGGTTATATGTACTGTATCTTTATCACTCTGTATTCAGATTTTTAAAGAAAAAAGCTAACGGTTTTCAAAATTTGTAAGAACGTATCTGAAGAGTCGCTCCTATGACATTATTAAATGCGATCACTATTAGTGTTATTTTGCTGTATTCATTGGGCAATGAAAGTAAAGTGTTTTCTGATTAGTAGGTTTACACATTTCAAAAACGAAAGTTGCTTCATGAGACCTGTTAATTATTTGTGTATCATTTGTACTAATGGTGTACTATTAGTTTAAAATTTAAAATAATTATCAATAACATGTTGCTTACTCAAAAAAATTATCAAGAAAAATTTTCCTGTTATAAACATTCATAAATTAGCTATTTTCAAGTTCAATGCTATAAATAAACAAAAGTATACAAGTAATATGTATAAATCATTTTTGCTGTTTAACTGTTTAAATATTATCAAATATAATTTTTTTTTTAATTTTCACATTAATGAAACATCTATGATTAACAATTTACAAAATTATGTCTTATTTTTTTATCATATCAATAATATTGAATCAATATTTTTTGTTTTATGAGTGTACTCAAATATTTATTGTCTATAGCATTCAATTATTTAGTAACCTCAAGTAATGAAGGTTTAAAACAAAAAAATTGTCAGAGGAATACCAATAGCTTCTCAGCGTAACTAAGAAACTAAAGATCATTAAAAATGTGCTTTTTTTTTGTATGGTATTTGTTTATTTATTTAATTTTTTTTTATGAACAAAATAATTTATTTGTTTATGTAAGATGAAATCGACCTTTTTATAAACATTATTCACAAAAACAATTAAAAACTCCAAACGAAAATAAAAAAATAAATCATTAAATAACATGACTATTGGTAAATAATAACCATTAAAAATATATCGAAATAAAAATCTGTACATAAATTAGAAAATGGAAAATGAAATAAGTAGAAAAATTAAGAATTGTAGATCTAAGGGTAACAAAATATTATTTTTAAAACGAACACAAGACGTATCAAAAGAATCACAATACCATACAAACTGAGTTGTCTAATATTAAAGCTCTAAGGAAAAAAGATCTGCTAAATTAGTTTTAAAACTGGTTGGATTGGGTTGGGTTATTTAAAATTCACAGTAAATATAATAGACAAGTATATTAAGCTAATTATAATCAAAAGTTCAATAATTGTATTTAAAAATAATCCCAGTATAGTGGTGACACGGCAAAGTAGAATTAAGTACAATAGACTTCACTGTTGAAATCTGACAGTAATAATATGACTATTATAAAACGCTTCAATATAATTGCGTATGTAGAAAACATTAAAAAAATAAAAATTATAATGGAAATTTTACTTAAAAAAAAATTACTTAAAGAAAATCAATGGCCAAGATATTTTTCTTTTTTTAACATGTTTCTATTAGTTTCACCTGTATGTTTGTTTGTTTATTAGATATAAACATTTAAAGGTTCAAATTATTTGAATTAATATACATGTATATACATAAGGGATTACAAATATAAGTAGCTAATTGGTTTTTTATGACAATATTCGCAGGTACATAGCATTTATTATCAATGGTAGTAAAACACGTCGTTGTGAGTTTATAAATACACTAACTATTATTACTCATATTAAAAACTTAAATTTGATATAGATTTGAAAAACATCGTATTTCATTAATTGCAACCAAAATCTTCTTATTATATAATAGAACAAGGAAAAAAACGCTTTTCTGGGAAAATTACTTAGCGTGCTCGGATTTTCAAAATTTTTATTTTCAACGAAAGTACTCGTTCACCAAACTCGCCCGCGAGCGTTTTAAAATTTCGACCATTTTCGAGAAAAACGCTCGCTGACGCCAGCGTTTTACGACTTAAGGTTTGAAATTTTCATCAGACCCGCCCAATGACATTCCTGAGATATGATAAAAAAATCAATTCAATCCGTTCATTTTTCACCGTTTTACGAGGTTTTTTTTTTTTTTTTAAGTCCACGCGCATGGTTGTATTATGCGCAGTGATTCATTTCTGCTGATACGTATTGTGAACTTTAATTATATGGTGTATTATGTATTATTATTAGGACACTATTTTGCATTTGCCCTATTTTTATCAAGGAATGTTATATGTTATATATAAATTTCATGACGTTATAATTATTTAAGTTTGTACTTTCATTATAAGAACAGTACTAAGTACAGAGTTAATAATTTTCTTTTTTCTCGTATATGATGTATGAGACTATGAGTTTATCTTTTGAATTGGGGTTCATCTATGATAACTATGATGTTCATCGTTAAATCGCAGTTACCAATATATTTATCAAAATTAAATTTTTATTTTTATTTTTAATATTAATTTTAATTTAAATTTACAGTGTGCCACTTATAATAACCTGCTAAATTTTTTTGTATTTATTCTATAATATAAACACAATTATTATAATTAGATTATTAATAATTTTTGTGTATAACAGGGGTGTATTTAAGAGAGATTGGCTTCTCCTTGAACAAGCGCTATCAATATTTTTTTAGGCAACTTCTAATATATAAGGACCTAATGTCCTTTTTTTTCATCATTACTTTAATTTTAGCAAAAAAATTTCTATAACATGTTTAACAAAGTAAAAAATATTAAATTTCCTCCTAAAATAATTTTTGAATAGGCCTAAAGGGAATACCTCATTAAGAGGCTTCAACCTTTTACCCAATACATTTTACTATATTCTCTTTTTGAATTTTCCTGATATTAATAATAACATTTTTAGATATAGTTTTCACTAATTCTGAAGTAATATTTTTTCTGAAAAACACTTATCGTGCCCGGCGTTTGGGTTACTTCTACCGGAATCAGTGGCCTACTTATGATGACGGCCCGAAGAAGCTTTCGCGCCGAAGGCGCGTAAGGCTTGAAGGGCCCCGGTCTGGGGCGGAGCCCCAGCTAGGCGGAGCCTAGTATTAACAATAATTTTTTTTATTCACAAAACGAAAATATACATAAAAACATTTACAAGTATAAGGAAAATTAAGTAATAATCAAAATAGAAAAATAAAAACCCAGCACAGGGGGGTCGCGGCACAGTGGTGACGTGGCATAGTTGGATCAAGTATAATGATATCTGACAGTGATTAAAATCACTATAAAAAAAAAACGCTTCGATGCAAATCTTTAGATAGTGTTTAATTTTAAAAAATTGGTGGATTATTCCAAAAGCTTCATAAACTGCTAGTTCCTTATTAATATCCTGATTAAGATAAAGTATGTCGAATGAAAAAGGGATTATTAAAAAATAGTATTTCCCATAAAAAAATTATATTGATCAATACACTTTTCAATAAGTTATAGCATTATAAAGTTAAAAATGTAAAAAATAAAATCGAAATTTTTCACACAATAATAGCATTTGGTAGCCATTTTCACTGTGAAGACAAAACAAAGTACGAAATTTTTTTTTTTCATAATAAAGTATATTATATTACATTAGCTTTAATTTAAGATATATATAAAAGTGTCAGACCTTCCGGAACACTTTCAAAATTTAAGTTGAAAAAGTCAATTTTTTGTGAAAAATTTGTCATTTTGAATCCCCCCCTGTGGGCAGGTAAAAAGTCAGATTTATAAAAAAAATATACCAAATGATAGGTAATGACATCATGCATCTATAAAAAAAAGAATTATATTGATATGTTTATTTTTAAAAAAGTTACGGCTGTTTTTAGTAAAAAAAATTTCGAAAATTTCGAAAATTAGTAATTTTTAAATTTGTAATTTTTTCGGAGGTTTCCCCCATTTACGGGGAACGAGGGAATTTTTTTCAATTTTTGAGGGTAATGTCTTCGACTAGATACGATTTGTGATCTTTTGACGTATCATTGAAAGAAATCGGTTCGGTGAGAGCTGA